CTCGTCGGCCGCTGCCTGCTGGGCTGCCTGCTGGGCGGCGTGCTGGGCGGCTTGGTGCAGGAAGTAGGGGTGCTGCTGCAGTGCCGCCTCCAGGCCATCAAAGGCCTCGTGGGACTCCTACAGGTGATAGATATGAAACATCAAATATGATCACGCATGATGGCAGGGAGATATGTTCCAGGAAGGACAGGGATATCTGGACCGGCAAACCGTCCCAGGAGAAGCGCAGGGGTGGGTGTCCGCATTGTGGCGCAGCCAACGGCCCGCGCTGTCGGGCGGCGGCCGGTGACAGGCCGGCCCCGCGCGAGCCGCGCACGCGCTCGGCCGCCGGCTGCGCCGGCGTCGCGCCCGACGCCAAGGCTTGCGCCGCGCTTTGAGCTTTTCGGGAGCCCACCGCATGCGGCCCGCCGGGGCGCGTGCCCACGTGCAGCCGGATGCGTGTGCACGACTAGCTCAGTCCCGAATAATCCCGGGGCACCAAGCCGCCTGCGGCGACGCCGTTCGCGCAGCCAAGCGCCGCGCGGCCCCCCCTAGACGTCCCGCCAAACTGCGCCCTTTGCTGCGCCGACGGCCAACAGAAGCCGACCAGAAGCTGATGGGTACCTGGCTGGAAGCTGCTGGGAAGCTGACCGGAAGCTGAAGGGATCATACATACAAACACAAGCGCACCTGGCAGAGCTCCGCGGCCTCCTGCTTGAGCCACATGAGCTGGGCGTTGAGTGAGTAGCGCAGCGGCACGCCGGGCAGCACCACGTCGCTCGGGTGGATGTGGTCCTGAGGAATGGAAGACAGGGGGGCAGTGGAAAAGATATATTGTTTCACCAAAGGGGGCATGATAGGGTGAATGCAACTATAAAATGGATGTGGTCCTGTGGATTGGAGAACGGGGGGGTGGGTGAGGGGGGGTTGGGTGAGGGGGATGACAGGTTGCAATTGAAGGGGGATGAAAGCGTGCACCCAAGGGGGTGTCGGAAGACGGGCGATGAGGATTATTGGGCCCGAGCACCGGGGCTATTGTGGGATGCAGCCGGCGAGTGAACAGGATACAGGGGGGGCCACGGCCAGGGCGCGGGAGTCACGTTATCGGTCGGAGGGAGGGGCGCGGTCTTGTTTTGTGAGGCCCCAGGTGGCGAGCAAGAGGCAGCCCACACGAGCCGCTGTCGGCGCGCAGGGGCAGGGGGCCCACCGCTAGCCGGCGGGCGGGCGCAGCGGCGGGGGCGAGCGCACCGCCTGCGCCGGCCCCCCAGCGGCGGCCCGCCCTCGTCCCCCGCGGCAACCCCGGCCGCCCGCCCAGCCCGCACCTGGTGGAGGCACATGACCGTGCGGCCCAGCCCAAAGTACCGCACGAAACCGCTGTGCAGCGGGCGCCCGCCGGCCTCCAGGGCGGTGGCGTTGAAGCAGGCGTGGAGGAAGGCGCCAAAGGACAGGCAACTGGCCTCGGGGGATAGGGGCAGCCTGGTTTAGGGGGAGGGCGAGGGGGAGGGCGAGGTTGAGGGAGGCAGGGAGGGGTGAGGGAGTGAGAGGGGGTGAAAAGCGAGAGAGGTGCGGTCAGTTTGGGGAATGCGGATGGGGGAGGGGTGGCTCGAGGTTATAGTTGTGGGTGGGGGGCTATCCTGTGGACTAAGAGACACCATGGCATGCAGGGTGGCCGCCTGCAGTACGGGTGGGTGAGGGGGCGCGGGGCCAGGGGGCCTGCAGGGCTGGGTGGGCAGGCGGTGAAGGGCGGCAGCTCCGCCGTGGCGGCGCCGTGCCTGCATCATGGGCGAGAGGAACACAGCCGTCCCGAAACAAAGGCCGGCGCCCACGCAATTGACACACAATTCAATGGCTTATGCCGGCTGCAATATGTTAGGCCGAAGACGGCAGAGAGGTGGCCGCAGGGGGCCGCAGAGCCGATCGCGGTCCAACCTACTAGCTAGCATCGCGCGCCACCGCCAGCCCGCAGGCCCCTCACCTCCGCACTTGCCGCGCCGCCGCCTCCGCGACGCCACCCTTGGGCCGCACCCACAGCCAGATCTGCCCCCGCTCCTCCCCGGGCAGCGCCTCGCCCGCCGGCAGAGTGGCGATGCTGAGCGTCACCCGCGCGTCCGCGTGCAGGAACGTGCGCACGTGCGCGGTCACGCCGTCGCCGCAGCCGGCGGCGGCGCACTTTTTCTGGGCGTGCGGCGCCGCGGCCACGATGAAGCCGGCGAGGCTCAGGTCGCTGCGGGGTGAGGGATCAGGGGGCAGGGGCCGCGTTTACAAGGGGGGCCGGCACACATTTGGCTTGAGAAACCGGGTGGCGTGTCCGAGGAAGGTGTAGGGCATGGGTTGGGAAGGGCGCATGCGGATCAGCGGGCTGTGCCGGCCCGGCAGCGCCGGGACCGGCCGGTGTTGTCCCGGCGTCGGCGCGGTCTGCCGCTGTATCAGAGAGGGCGCGGTCCCTCATCGGTGCATGCAGGAATCTTCTTTTGAGGGAGACCCTGCCCTGCAGAGGCAAAAAGCTTGCCTGCGGCAGTAGTAGTCGATGCGCTTGATGGAGGGCGGCTCGCACAGCAGCTGCTTGCGGGGGTTGCGGCACGCCATGGACAGGAAG